AGTCCCTCTTTCCCCACCCTTTTTGCCCTTGGGGCAGCTGGGAACTGTAGGCCAGAAGATGAGGAAGCACCATTCAAGCCAGTGAGTGATACCCCTGCAGGCCCCTCTCTGGGACTACAGCTCAATTAAACCTTATGGCGGAACATTTTAAACTAACAACCACAGACAGCAGCCCAGCAGCCATCTTACAAACACAGGTAACTGCCATTTTGTTACACCTACCAACAGCCACTGAGGGAAAAGTTAAGTCCCACACAGGAGGCAAGCAGGAGAAGCGTCTTCGTCAAAGAGACAAAGCTATTTGCCAGGAATTCTGACGACAGAGTGGCTGAAGGGGGAGTGGGTGGGGAAGAGGAGCAGACCCACCTCTGGCCAATGGCACGCAAGTAGTCCTGAGTGGCAGCTAACGAGCCAATGGCTGAAGGAGTGCATGGATTCCTGCCACCCCATAGGAGGGAAGCCACTCCAACTGACAATCTCTCCCTTATATATAAAGGCATAGTGGGGCCCAAAATTCCAATGCACACCAACAGTGTTTGGAAGATTGAACCGTCAGTCAGAAGACGCTGGCTGCTTTGTGTAGTCCTGCCCACCCCGGCCAGAGTGTTCAGCTCAGTCTGCTCTGGGCCTCTGACAGGAGAGGACCATCTGCAGACTGAGTGCAGGGACGGGGCTTCTACGGCTGGGCCGCTTCAGCCCACTCTTCTCTGATTGGGACAGCGTTTCAAGGTGATTTGCATATGGAAGCTGATTGGACTTCACTCCATTCCACACCTCAAACTCCCCCCCCTGCAAGACAGTTGGAATTCTCAGTTGAATATGGGACCTGGTGTATTCTGAGGAGGATGTCAGCTGCTTTGGTTCCCACTGCAGGGGAAAACTGCCCTTTCCCTTGGCAGAGGTTGGGGGGGGGGATGTAAACCAGAAGACAGACAGGCAGATAAAGGTAGGCTGATGGTTGCCTGGAAAAGACATAGGGTTGCCAACTCCAGGTTGGAAACTTCCAGGATATTTTAGGGATGAAGCCTGCTGAGGGTGGGGTCTGAGGAGGAGGAAGAGGGGGACCTCAGACAGATACAATGCCATAGACCCCACCCTCCAAACAAGCTGTTGCCAATCTCCAGTTGCCAACTCCAGGTTGGAAACTTCCAGGATATTTTAGGGATGAAGCCTGCTGAGGGTGGGGTCTGAGGAGGAGGAAGAGGGGGACCTCAGACAGGTAGAATGCCATAGACTCCACTCTCTAAACCAGCCATTTCGTCCTGGGTAACAATTGTTGCCAATCTCCAGGTGATGGCTAGAGATCACTCAAAATTACAACTGCTCTTCAGGTAGCAGAGATCAGTTCCTCTGGAGAAAACAGTGGACTCTGTCATTATACCCTGCTGCGGTCGCCACAGCAAATTGACACTGTTTGCCCAAAGCCAGAGCACTCTCCCAGAGCCTCTTTCTAGATCTCGTTGTATTTATTTCCACAACGGGCCTTATTCCTAGTTATATAGGAGAGAAAAGCTTGTTTGTTACATAGCTCGTCATGTGTAATCCCTTAATTACTACTTTTCATAGCAGTGCTATGTAGGTTGGATTGTTAGTTTCTTTTTTGTTAGCATAAACTGTAAAGCATCAAACTGTCACATTTTTTCCTTAATTGCTCTATTGCAGCAAGTGATGGATAGGAGAGAAAAGCTTGTTTGTTACATAGCTCGTCATGTGTAATCCCTTAATTACTACTTTTCATAGCAGTGCTATGTAGGTTGGATTGTTAGTTTCTTTTTTGTTAGCATAAACTGTAAAGCATCAAACTGTCACATTTTTTCCTTAATTGCTCTATTGCAGCAAGTGATGGATGAGCTTCTCTGGGGTCACCTTGACTTTTATTCACTTTTTGGCATCTTTTCTTGTGGGTGGTTGAAGGGGGAAAGTATCAAATCATTTCAAGCACCCATAAATGAAGATTGTATAAAACAGAAATTGGAACATTGCTGCTCTACTGCAAGCCCCCTCATCTGAGGCGATAGAGGCTGCAGTAAGAACTTACTTCCAGGACATCTTGTTTCTAGGATGCTGCCATTGCAGCCTTGTGGGTGTTCCAGTAGGAGCAGAGAGTGGAGACACCTTGCTGCCATCTTACCTCTCTGCTCAAAAATTTAGGGAATAGTGTTTGTAGTAAGGGAAGCACAAAGGCCTAGTAGTGGATGTGAGCTCCCATACAAGCTCAGGCCTGAATGCAGAGAGGGCTGGACTGTATAGGCATGAAAACTTTGAATGGGGGGGGAAGTTTTTGTTCTTCCTCATACAGATTTCTCCCCCATTACAACTTGTCCAGTTGGAATTTCTGTTGGTTACCTGTGTCTTTCGTGAATTCCTCTGTACTAGTCTAAAACAGTTTCTTGACAGAAACCATATTTATTTATTTGTGTGTGTGTCTCATTTTTCATGAAACACTCAAAGTGCCTTACCATAGCAAAATTAGGCATTATACTAGGGGTGTCAAACATAAGGCCCAGGGGCCAAAACCAGCCCATCCACAGTTCTTATGCAGCCCACAAGCAACTAGTGCAAGGGAAGGAAAAGGAGACTGCTTGGGGGGGGGGGAGTGGGTGGAGCCACTCCGATTATGGCTTCAACATGGTGGAACAACCTTGTCTGCAGCAGTCAAGCAGCATGGGAGTATCTGTCCAGTGCTGCACCGCTGGCTCTCCAGTCCACCCATATGGGTTTTCCTTTGGCACAAGGCCTTGCAGTGAGGATACATAAATTTATATCTCTGGCTCCTGGCATTACATTTTAGGGCACACATGGCCTGGCCCAACAAAGTGACATTTATGTCAGATCCTGCCCTTGTAACAAATGAGTTTAACACCTCTGCGTTATACAGTGCCTTTCTTCTTCTGAGCCCTCTCCAAAACCCACATATACAAATATAAGTGCAAGATGTGCATTCATACCTAACTTGCCATATCATTTTTGGCATTTTACAAAAGGCTGCATGCTGTACTACTGCGTGTGCAGTGTGCATGAGCTCTCTTTAGCATCTCCCTCCCAAAAGTATTACCCTCATTCATCAAACTAAGAGTCCTCCAAATTGACACTGTCACTGGAAGTGAGATCAAAAAAAGGTGGTTGCACATGGGCTTCTTTGGTCACTGAATTGCTTGTTTCAGATCAGTGTTCTTTTCCAGTTGTTCTGCAAGGCTCGTAGAAATACCTGTAACAGCACTTTAACTAAATGAGTTGAATTTAATTGAATCTTGTTGAATCTTGAGGCCAAACACATGTCATTCTTGTAGACCTATATGGAAATGGTCAGGATAGGGACAAGTTGCTTAAAAGGGAATGGGTGACTTCACTGACAGAAATGTTGCAGATGTTAGAAATTTATAGTTTATGGTTTGGTCATTTATCAGATCAGGTTTTTTAAAAAGAAACTTATAAAGTTTTGCCATCATAATGGTGGGGGGGGGTTTGGTCCATTTTTTTGTGTTCAAGTGGGTTTGAGCAGACTTTCTTTAACTTTGGAATGGCATTTAATCAGTGTCTGCCCTGCACATGAAATGTCATGAATATGAGGGCTTTAGGACAATCAAATGTTAAACTGGAGATATAAATATTTACCTGAATGGAAACAACAGTGCAGTCCTGTGCAGAGTTACTCCAGTCTAAGCCCATTGAAGTCAGATTTGGTTAGGATTGTATTATAAGTCTCTTCTTTAACCCACTTTTTAAAACTGTAATATCTTTTTGTATTGTACAATAGATAGATGATATTGATCTTATAAGTGCAAACATGGAAAACTCACTGGCCTCAATTGGAGGATTTTGCTGTGGAAGATCCTTTGTTGTTGACCACCAGGTATGTTCTTGATCTAAAGTGCAAAAAAAAAAAATCATTTAAGTACCCTGTGCTATCTTCGTTGATGGAATGGAAACTGGTGTTGCAGATAATAGAACAAACACTTACTTAGCTGTTGCCAATATAAACAAGTTAAGATTAGACCTTAGAATAGGGAGCCCTAATATCTAAATACACTCAGCTTGTTTTATCAAAGGATTATCTGTATCTTTTAAGGATAGTTTAAAGTTTGCTGACTTTGCTCTCTCCCCCCCCCCCCCCCCCCCCCCTCAGAGATTGTCAGGTCAAGGCTACTGCTTTTCTGCGTCTCTACCTCCCCTCCTTGCTGCTGCTGCTATCGAAGCCCTAAATATAATGGAAGAAAATCCAGGTATGTTGTTCTAGAAAATTTTATATATATATATACGCACATGTGTGCGCACACACACACTGGAGATAGAGGTTGTTAATGTGCAGAGTGTATAGATGATGCTAAAATATGGGGGGAGGGATTGCACCCAACTGGTTGCAAATGATAATTATGGACAAAAATCCTTAAATAATGTATATCTCTGGATAACCACATTTAGAATGTTATGCACAGTTCTAGTTGTCATATCTCAAGAAAGACAAGTATGGAAAAGAGACGGTAAAAGAGCAGATGAGAAAGATTTAGAGGTTCCCTCTTTGCCCTTGTAAAGTGCTCAGTAAGCCACCTTAGCTGTGACAGCAGAAGGATTGTCTCTGCAGTAACAGAGTGGTTTTCTGGAGACCTAGACTATAACCTCTTTCAGTAAAGGCAGGAAGAAAGTGGTCTTCTCAAAGCTCATAATGGTGCTGCATAGCTGACATTTCTGTGTTGTTCCCAGTAACCCTTTTCCGCTATTCTCAAAATCTCCCAAGCTCTGTATACACAACCCCCCTACTCTTTGACTGAACAAGTGGAGAAGCAGAGTGAATCCAGACTGATGGCCCCACATTGAGGAATGTCCATGTGTACTTCTCTTCGTGATTAGCAACATTCAGTAACCAGTGTCCCCAGTCATGGGGAGGGAGCAGATACTTCTCCACACGTTTGCACTGTGCAGACACCTTCTTGATCGTTGAGGGGGAGCATGCTGGTGCCCACTGTCCCTCCGCGTGTTTTCAGTCAATGTGTGAGGGGTTGTGTGTAGAAGGCTACAGTGTTTGCAAGAGACATGTCTCTTTCTTGGTTATCATACTGAAAGGGACAAGATCCCACTGTGACATGTCTGCAAAGCCAGATCTTTGTCTGCTGGTCCAAGAGGCCTGTCATTTGTCCCCCATCATTGTGGGCAGCACCTTTAATCCCATGTTTGTGCATCTTAAAAGCCAGAGAAGTTTGTTTGCAGCTTCCCCTAATGACCCTTAAACTGGTAGTGAGCAGATAGGCCCAACCACTTCCACAAAACTCCAAGTAGTTTTGAATTCTCCCCCCCTTCTCT